ACTCCACCTGGCTCTACCTCAACAATAATCTAAAAATAGCCACCGGCATTACCTCATCTAAACTAAACCAAATGAAGGCATTCAGAATCAAATTCCTGCTTAACAAACTACCTACTCACTTCCACTTCCACCTTACAGCACCAAAGACCTACCAGGCTGACACCTGTTTCTCCTGTGGCAACCCCGACTTACCCAACCACTGGATCAGCTGCAACAGCTTACCAACCCCAAGCAGATTATAGATACCTCAACCAACCATATAGTTAATAAATACCTCAGTAACTTAACCTTAACCCAACGCACTGCAATAGTAGATCTTATCAAATCTCACTCCTCATTCAACTACTCACCTACCCCCTCTTCGCAGACACACCAACTATTATCTACCTTAAAAGGTCTTATCTTATCCCCAGTACTACAACTACTTCAGACCTCTGACCTATCATATAAAGAATCAGCAAACATCATCGTACAAATTCAACTTCTGACATCAGCCAAAATCTACGAACAAATCTGGAAGCCATACTGTGACAGATTTGCAAAATGGAAAAAACAACACAACATAGCACCTTACATCAAGATAACGACAACACAAGCCCATACTCACACCAAGCGCTAGCGGAAAAAACACACTTATAGCTGCCCTTGTGGTATAGCAGACCAACTACATAAGGACAATAGCACCTGCCCCCCAAAGGGCAGGCATAGCTGAAGTTTGAGCAATGGTCTACAGCATGGATTCAATATAGCATACATACAAACCACATACTTATCATTAAAATCTAGGTGAGTCTTGACCACTCTAGTAGGTTTAGGTCACAGATAACTAACTTAGCCGCCTAGCTGAGTTTTTAGTCTGAGCTCCCATTCTTGTATTTAATTTATATTTTTTGTTATTATACAAATGAAGTCGTTCTATGTAACTACTTATATAAACTACTCAATAAAAATATGAGCAAGGCCTCACCTTAATACCAAAAAAAAAAAAAAAATATCAAGATTTACCAGAAAATATTGCAAAATTTCTAGATAACAATAATTGGTGGCAAACAATAGAAGAACTTGAGTCATGTATGCTTCTCTTTATAGCAACATTAAATCATCTTCAATGAGATGCTGCACAGTTACCAGATGTTCTTCATTCATTTGTATATTTTATGTAATTATATAAAAATAAGTCAGATAGGTTTAGTAAAAATATGGTTTAGCATTTAGAAACACGGTAGAGTCAATGGGAACAATCCTTGTTGCTTCTTTCTTTTTTTCTTTACCCAGCATATCATAGCAAAGTTTTTAATAATCATTCTTCACTAAACTTACCTCAGGTTGGCTTATGGATACAGTATTACTACAAAGCATGGTTTAAAACCAAACCAGTTGTTATATTATCAGAATTTTCAAAATTTATAGCAAAAGAATATCCATTTGATGATGAAATGGCTTCTAACTTTGCCAACATTCAGAAGTATTAGAATTTTTCCATAGGTGCTACAAAAGAATTAGGCATGCTTGCAATCCATTTATTCTCAATTTGTATTAATTCTGCATCATGTGTGTGTCTATTTTTAACAATGGGCTTTTTTCACAACTCACGATGCACCAGATTACCGGTAAAAAAATTCATATTAATATATATATATTAAAATTGAATAATATTGATATTTTTAACGAAATTTTTTACTCTTAGCTTGATAAAGTTTTTTCAATGGCACAAATGCGAGCCGAAATTAAGTATAAATGTACAACTGAAGCAGCAAAATCTCTAGAGCAAAATATATTAGCAAACATAAATATTATATATAGTTCTGATGATCATAGATACAAACAACCAAATTCTCATGATATTGAACAAAAAAGTTCTGATGTTATAGATTTAGAAAGTTCTGATGTTATAGATTTAGAAAGTTCTGACGTTATAGAATTAGAAACTAACGAAAATGAAGAAATGATTATTGAAGATGATTCTGAATCAAGTATAGATAAAGATATTAGTAAAGAATGGAAAGCAGTTCTTAAAGAATAGTCTAAGGATCTTATTTCCAAAGAAGAAAGTATAGAAAAACATAAAAATTTGTTTGGAATGGATGAATTGAAAGAAACAGAGGAAACAGAAGATTTATCTTTTAACAAATTATTAATAGATTTGAAACATCCTGCAGATGATGTCATGGAAAAATGGAAACTTGCCAATTTATTTGATTTTGAATTTTCAACACCCTTATCCATAAAAAATCTGATGAAAATTCAAGATGATTCAAAATAATTGATGCAATTTATGTTTTAAAACATCATGATCCTTTTTTTCTTTTGGGAATTTTTTTTGGCTTAGTTGTTTTGTACTAAGAAAAAAAAAATTAAATAAATATGCAATTTTAATTTGTAAATAATGATTTGTTATTAACTTCGTGGTAAGAATTAAGGCTGTTTTTCTTAATATAAGTATAAAATATATTCATAGAATTATTTCATTTTAGAAGTCAATTAATTAATATTTATTAACTAATTTTATTAGCATAAGTGTGTAAGTATAAAGCATTTTTAGAAATAGTGGTTTGCAAAATTAATATCTCTAATTATTCTATACAATTTAACAGGACACGAATTTAATTATGAAGCTATTTTAAGTTGTAAACAATTGTATAAGACTATAATTCGTATTTATATCCAGACCAGAGCCCACATATAATATTGAAATTTAGTACTCAATAGATATATAAATTTTATTACTTTTTATCATCATGCATTTCGTAGTATCATTATAGTAATCTCTTAATTAAGGATAGCTTTGTCAAGTCTAGTTTGGATTGTCAGGTAGGTAGATGGCTTTACAAGTCTTGTTTTTTTGAATTTCACAATAGTCTCTTGAGTAACTTTATTAATCTTGATTTGACAATCAGATTGTTCTATGCATGAGAGATGTAAACTATTATTCAATGGATATCTAAATAATAGTAAATCCAATAGATACCATTGGATTTACTATTAATTTAGTGTCTAATAAATAATAGTTCACTTCTCTAGTATGAACAATACAAATCATTTTTTATTTCAAGAATCGGTCAATTTATAGTTATATGATTTTTTCATGTTGGGCAGATTTCAATTAAGATACGACATATACATGTATCAAGATTTATGATTAATATTTATATTTAAATTACTAAAGTTTTGTAAAAAAACAAAATAGCAGTACGTGGAAATGTAAACTCAAAGGTCAAAATTTGCAGTATTGGCCGGAAAAGTTTCAGAAGGAACCCGCGATTACCCATCAGAAGAAGAGAAGCAATTTGAAAGAAAAAGAATCTAAATTAAAAGGTAAATATAATAGAAAAAGAAGCTTTAGACTATAAACTAAGAAGGCAAAGAAAGCTGAATATCTTGGAGTAATTGATAGAGGGCAAATACATTTTGAAGAGAATCAAAATATTGAAAAACAAGAAGAAAGTTTAAGGGTCATAAAAGAATCAGAGAAAACTCAGGCCACTTAAACGAAAGAGAAACTATTCATAATATCATTATATTTGTTATGAATTAGTTTATATAGTCATTCCTATCATTGAACATATTTTAATACTTTGTAATATACAGGAAAGCGAAATTAAAAAACTGGAGCATGAAGAATATGATTAATTCAGAAGAACATGCATCGAGGAAACTATTGAAACCCGTATTTATTCCAAAGTATGTGCATAATTTAGGTAATAGTGTAAATTGTAAATTACTTAAAGAGCTAATTGTTAATGCTTTTTAGAGAATATAGAAAAACAATACTAGAAAAGAAACATATTAATCATTCAACTCTCCCCAACGATCACTTGGCACAAAAATTTACAGACAGGCAAAATACAAAACATGTTAAAAACAACAATATTTCTCGCCAACAACGAAAGAAAGCATGAATAAAGTATAAGCAGCAGCCTGTTTTAGTTTAGATAGTCAATTAGAATAGCAAGGAAAACTTAAAAACCAAGCAATACAACTTTACTATTGGCAGACGTGTCTAAACAACAGAAGCTAGAAAAAAGGAAGTACTCTAGCAAAACTTGTAGAAACCACAAACAAACACTGAGACAAGCCATATTAAGTTACAAAACACAAAAAATTGGCAGAGGATTAGAGCGAAAATAAGAAAAACAACACTTGCTTAAACTAAAACTTACTCATTTCAGCTTATAATTGGGGAACTGTTGTTGACTCTGTACTGCAGATCACTTGTGAAACATAAGTTACTGGGCTACACAAAAGCAACAAACTCTTGAATACACGTAAAAACACATAAAAACACGTAATTCATACACATATCACATGACAAAGCAAAGCCACATATCTTTACAAATAGTGATTTAAAATGCCAAATTTAGAGGATTTTAGAGGTTTTTTCAAACAGACAGAAAGAGAAAGCAGACTACTGTATGACAAACAACATTCAATAGTGCGAAACGAAGATGCTTATGTGGCAGAATACCTGGGTACAAGTGATATTCAGCTAATAGCAGTCGTACATGGTGTAATTGAGAGGTTTAAATAGGCAGAAAGCAAAGAGGTCAGAAAGCAGAATTTGACCGAAGAAGAAAGAAAACTTCTGGGACATGACACAGATATTAAGATGCGCTTAAACACATGCATCCAGGGTAAAGATGGCCCAGTTATGATAGATTTCTGCTATATAAAACCAAACAAAGGAAATACTCTGGCAATTGCAGATAGTAATAATAGTAGCGGTACGAGAGCATTAAAACAAGAAAACCCATGTAAAAGAAATTTTGAAGAGCAAGATAATAATAGTAATAGTAGGAAAAATAATTCTGAAGAGGTGAAAGAGATACTACTTGGAAATGAGGTAGGCACAATAGACTATGGCCTCGAAGAGCTAATTTCAAAAAGCTCAGAATATAGAGAAAGACGAGTAGATAAGAGACAAGCTAAAAAGCAAAAAAGTCAAGAAGATATATTTAACTCAATCTGGGCTCTCAAAAAAGAAGCGACCACACGGCAACACACAAATGAGCCTCCTATTTTACTCACAATTTGGGACCTCCCATGAAATATAAGTGAAAGAGACATCAAACTGTATCTAGACCATTATGGAACAACATCTATTTTCGAATGGTGACAGACCCGGAGAGAAAAAAGAGCCATACACATAAGAGTAGTGCCAAAAACAAAGAAAGGTAGCTACTCACTAAATAGATACTGGTCAGTACAATTAGGGCAGGGAAAAATATACAGAACTACTCTGGGGAAATTTAACAAAGACATGCTTGAAGAAAGAGACAAGTTTAGATGTACAATTAACAATGTGCCAAAAACAGCACTGGATAGCTTATTACTGCGACAATTAAGAAGGTATAAAGTGCAAGCAGCACATACGATAAACAATAGCAATGGTAAT